TATTCGCAGATGAGTAGAACTAATAATCCCTAGTCCATGGCTGTGGTAGAATGTCATCACATCATCTTCAGCACCAATTTCTTAATGGCAAAAGACTAGAAGCTATGGAGAAGCAAACGGATTTGGTTGTTTAGGTACACAAAATCACTAGCCTTGACTTTGCCAACCAGATATCCTAAACTAAGCTTTCCCATTTGCCAGCACTTGGGCCATATCCCTCTAAATGCTTCCTATTCATATACCCATCCAGATGCCTTTTAAATGTTGTTTAAATGTATCAGCCTCCACCACTTCCTTTGGCAGCTCATACAATACAAGCATCACCCTCTGTGTGAACATGGTCCCTTTTAAATCTTTCCCCTCTCACTTTAAGCCTATGCCCTCTAGTTTTGGACTCCTCCACCCTGGGGAACAGACCTTGGCTGTTCACCCTATCCATGTCCCTCATGATTTTATAAATCTCTATAAGGTCACCCCTCAGCCTCCAGCGTCATAGGGAAAATAGCTCCAGCCTATTCAGCCTCTCCCTACAACTCAAACCCTCCAATCCTGGCAACATTCTTGTAAATCTTTTATGGACCCTTTCGAGTTTTACAACATCCTTCCTATAGCAGGTAGATTAGAATTGCACACAGTATTCCAAAAGTTGCCTAACCAATGTTTTGTACAGCCGCAACACGACCTCCCAACTTCTACACTCAATGCACTGACCAATAAAGGCAAGCATACCAAACATCTTCTTCACTATCCTGTCTACCCGGGACTCCACTTCAATGGAACTATGAACCTGCACTCCAAGATCTCTATGTTCAGCAACACTCCCCAGGACCTTATCATTAAGTGTATAAGACCTTACCTGATTTGCCTTTCCAAAATACAGCACTTCACATTTATCTAAATTAAACTCCATTGCTACTCCACAGTTCATTGGCCCATCTGATCAAGGTCCTGTTGTACTCTGAGGTTACCTTCTTCATTGTCCACTACACCTTCAATTTTGGTGTCTTCAGCAAACTTACTAACCATTCCTCCTTTATTGACATCCAAATCATTTATATAAATGATGAAAAGCAGTGGACCCAGGGTTACAGAGAAAGGGTAGGGGGAGTGGTTCTGCATGGGATGTCCTTCCAAGGATCAGTGTGGACTCAACGGTTCAAATAGCCTGTTCTCATGCTGTAGGAATTCTATGACTCAGCACCGATCCTTGTGGCATACCGCTGGTCACAGGCCTCCAGTCTGAAAAGCAACCCTCAAGCACCACCCTCTGTCTTCTACCTTCGAGCCAGTTCTGTATCCAAATAGCTAGTTCTCCCTGTATTCCAGGTGATCTAACCTTGTTAACCAGTCTACCATGAAGAACCTTGTCGAATACCTTATGGAGTCCATATAGATCATATCCACCACTCTGCCTTCATCAATCCTCTTCATGACTTCATCAAAACACACAATCAAGTTAGTGAGACACGATTTCCCATGCATAAAGCCATGTTGACTACCCCTAATCAGTCTTTGCCTTTCTAAATGCATGTAAATCCTTTCCTTCAGGATCCCCTCCAATGACTTGCCTACCACTGATGCCAGCCTCACCAGTCTATAATTCCCTGGCTTTTCCTTACCACCTTTCCTAAATAGTAGCAACAGATTAACCAACCACCAGTCTTCTGGCATCTCACCTGTGGCTATCGATGATACAAATATCTCAACAAGGGGTCCAGCAATCACTTCCCTAGCTTCCCAGAGTTCAGAGGTACACCTGATCAGGTCCTGGGGATTTATCCACCTTTATACATTTTAAGCACTCCTCCTCTGCAATATGGACATTTTTCAAGATGTTGCTATTTATTTCCCAAAGTTCTGTATCTTCTATATCTTTCTCCACAGTCAACATTGATGCAAAATACTCGTTTAGTATCTCCCCCATCTCCTGAGATTCCACACATAGGCGGTCTTGCTGATCTTTAAGGGGCCCTATTCACTCCCTAGTTACTCTTTTGTCCTTAATGAATTTGTAGAATCCCTTTAGATTCTCCTTTACACTTTTTGCCCTCCTGATTTCCCTCTTAAGTATACTTCTACTGCCTTTATATTCTTCTAGGGATTCACTCGATCCTTGCTGTCTATACTTGATATATGCTTCCTTCTTTTTCGCTGACAGTGGAAGAATCATAATGTTAAAATCAGAGGTGGTCATTCAGGAATGAAGTGGGGAAACACTTTTATACAAAAGGTAAAGGAAAACGCTGAAAAGGGAAAATTGGCAGAAACCAACTTTCATCCTTGGTTCCAGCTTGCAACCATTGGGGAAAATACTTACATACAATTCTGTGGTTATGCTGCTTGTCAAGATTTCAAAGTTGTGTCAGAGTTGTTCACACTTGCAATCTGCTGTATAACTCAGTTATACATTCCATCCGTCTAAGATTGCATCATATTATCCAAGGTGATCATAGTCCAAGTCCAGAATGACCCTATCCAAGTAGAAGGCTACATAGAAACGTTAACTAGTCAAGGTAGAGAATACTAAAGAAGCAAAAACATTTGATGTGATGGCAGATATGATGCATAATTCACAGAATCACTCCACTATTTCAGACATGTCAGCATTGCATTCTATTCCCCTTTTACATTTTCTCTCTCTCTCATCTCTTTAAAGTCAAGGTTTCAGGATAAGTTCTGTTAGTGCAAATACTCCAAAGGACTTCGCACAAGTGATAATTCATAATGTGAGTTTAGTGGTGTAATTAGGTGATTCAACAACCAGGATCATCGTTGAGCTCAATCCATGCTCAGCATCCACAAAATCCCAGCACAAACTGCTGAATAAAGTTCAGGAGTGGAAATCTGTTTTTTATCCCTGTTCTTATAGAAGTCTTTGACCACCAAGTTTAACTGCCACTCTTACTCAGGTACGATTAGGACTGTGAAGCAAGTATATGAAAGATACTATGAAAAAAAATAAGTTTCTTCTTCTTGAACTAATGAGCTGAGATTCATTGTAAGTGTTCTTACTGGTTTCTGGTGCCCTGCCTGTAATCAGCTAATGAATATAATAATTTATAAACTTCTGTTACGTGGGGCAGAATGTTTTCACTAAAACAGGGTGAGATTCTCACAGGTAATAATATGAAACAATTCAAAATCTCCTGATTTCCTACATGGCCAATCAGACCTCACCATTAACTTAGAAAAATCATCCAAGGGTGCTTCAGAATAATTAATGATGGAAGGTAAAGTCACCATAGTCCTACTCCCTCATTAGACAGATGACTGGTGGTGGCTTAACTTGAGGTTCACCATATCTCAGGCACGAGAGAGGTTAAGAAGGAAAATCCTTCTTGGTAACCTCAGTTGGTGTGGGAATTGAACTGACATCACAAACCAGCCATCTGACACAACTGACCCCAAATTCAAGATAATGTGTAGATCAAAGAAGAAAACAAAAATAGGTGTAATGACCCAGAGTTTGACCATCAAAATGAGTTTTAAGGAGGGTCATTGAAAAGTGTGGTGCAGCTTAAAACCAATAGTGTGGGTTCAATCCCTGTACTGGCTATGTCAGTTCATACAGGCCTGCATCCTCATCTTAATCCGTGCTTGAGCTGTTGTTACCCTTAAGCTATACATAACCAATTGTTACTTCCTAATGGAGAGTTATGATCCTTTGTGGACTACACTTCCTTATTTTACCTAAGAACAGGGGCCCAAACCTTAGACCTGTGGTAGTAGAATATGCAATTAATGGCTCAGCAAAGGGTATGAATGATGTCCAAGCAAAATGAACACTTTGAAGGGGAAGGTGACTGTAGGATGTTACAAAGGTAGGGAGTTATAGAGTGTGGATTGAACTTGGAGTTTTTGTGGCACAATGGTAGTATTCCTACCTCTGAGCCAGGAGACCTGTATTCAAGACCCAGCTGCTTCAGAGGCATGTAAAAACATCTGACAGGTTGGTTAGAAAATATTTTGAACTTGGAACCTTTGTAATCTGTGTGCCTCAAATTTATACCATTATCAGAAGTCTGTACCAACTGAATTTAATCCATATTTTATACAAATATAAGTTTACATTATGACATTTTGCAGGGCAGCAAGGTGGCTCAGTGGTTAGCACTGCTGCCTCACAGCTCAAGGGACCCAGGTTCAATTGCACCCTTGGGCAACTGTCTGTGTGGAGTTTGCACATTCTCCCTGTGTCTGCATGGGTTTCCTCCCGTAGTCCAAAGATGTGCAGGCTGGGTGGATTGGCCATGCTAAATTGCCTGTAGTATTCACGGATGTAGAGCTTAGGTGGGTTAAAGGGAGATGGGTTGGTGTGGACTTGTTGGGCCAAAGGGCCTGTTTCCACACTGTAGGGATTCTATGATCTATGAATTATTGCTGCCTGCTCTACACCACCCTTGGAGAAAACTCAGCCAAGATCAAGAACTCTATAGATTTATTACAGATCAAACTTGTATGTGAACATTCCAGTGCAGAAGTAACTCATGTAACTAACTCTATTACATAAGCATTTTCTGAAATTACATTAACTGATTTATTGTTGTTTTAAATTCCATTGTATTGTCAGATCACTGAGCTGTAAAATTATCATTCCCAGTCAGATAATAGTTCTCCTTTTGTCTATTTAGCTAACACATTTCATTGGCCCATGTTGCTGGAATGCCACATTTTGCAAGTTATTTTAAGTTAACCAACACAATCCTGTAATGGAAATCTTGTTATTACAGAAGCTGGCTGATTTGCTGTGCATTTCCAACATATTATGCGTACCATTTAGTGTTTCCTATGTGTATTTTAGAATTGTAGCATTTGCTAATTTTCCTTTTTTAATGTGAAAGCCAATTACATCTCTTGCTCACAAAACAGAAATGACAGTTCTTCCTCAAACAACAAACACTTCTTCATGAATGCAAATCCTTTTTAAAAGCTACCTGTTTTTCATAGGCTGATTTAGAAGTTAGTCTCAATTTAACAAGCATGAGAAACAAGACATTTGCTTTAAAAATACTGTACTTTTTTATTTCAGAAATACGCTTTATTCGTAAAAATATCTTTGTAAAGATACAGTCACTAAAGCAGCTCAGTTCTGTAAAGTGACATATGCAGAAACAAACAAACATTGGAGTTTGACTCTATCCAGCAATCAAACCCAAGACATTTCTTACCTGTACAAAACTATATTTACACAAGTTTGAGGCACTGGGACGGTCTGATAACTGAATGGACCCCCATTTAACTTCAGAAGAAAGACCTTACACGGTGGTCTTTCCCTACTCACCTTGGTTCCAATTCAGCCAGCTTCTGTAATGACAAGATTTACCATTTGGGATGGACATGGTCATTCCCCACTGCACCTTGGTGGCAGCTGCCCTAGAGTTCAGTGCATCCCTCAGCACATCGTCCTGGACCTTGGAATGTGCAAGTCTGTAACAATCAGTCAAGGTCAATTTCTTCCTCTGGAAGACCAATAAGTTTTGGGCAAACCAAAGAGCATCTTTCACCAAGTTGATGGTCCCCCAGGTGCAGTCGTTTGCATCCTGAGGAACAGACGGTAAAGCACAGTGTCTTACATCACTGAGCTTCTTGGGACGAACCTCAATAAAAACCGCTGCATCTCTCTCCAGACTTACTTTGCAAAGGCACATTTCAGAAGGAGCTGTGTGTCACTCTGTATCTCCCCGCAGCCGCTTTGAGTACAAAAACGATCTAACAGGTGCCCTTCTCACCACCAGCCAAATGATAGCTTGGTGCTTGTTAGAAAGTTCTGGTGACGAGGCATTCTGCCAAATGACTTTGACAGTCTGCTCAGGGAACCACCCAACAGTATCCATCCTCTCCTGGTGTTGGGGTCAAAGGTGTTTTTCTTCACAAATTTCTCTGTGAAAGACAGGTAATACAGAATAGTCTAACTACTTGAAGCTTTCCACAGCAACAAGGTCAATCCCATCCTTTGCAACACCCTGAACAGGTAGAACCTCACTATGTAGTGAAATACTGGTGTTTGTGAGCGGAGGGCTATGCACAGCTTGTTGCAGCCACACACAAAGGTGGCCATCAGGATGAGCGTGGCATTAGGTAAGTTCTTCCCCCCCTTATCAACAGTTTTAATATATTGCGTCCCTGGGGACACAGTCGATTGTAGACCTCCAGATGAAGTGGAAGATGACTCAGGTGATTGCAAAGGCGCAGTTCGGAGAACAGGCCACACTTGCGCCACATACAACACAGGCAGTACCTCATTGATGACGAGGTTTTGACCTCAATGGAGAAGGAGCAGTGCTCCCAAAAGGCCAGTTCTGCCTCACCGTGGCGGCCATGCCTTTATTTTAAATTTCAAAATTATACTTTATTCACAAAAAAACTTTTTATAAACATAGTCACAAACGCAGTTTGGTTCTATACAGTAGCTCATTAACACTCCCACAACTTTATTTTAGTACACACATATACCTCCCAAAATGAAAGTTTATGGTTGAATTGGCGGTGGAATCTGGTGTAATCATTAGTAGACTTGTTTTGGCTACCAGACTATCTGTTATGCAAAAGTCATCAGATAAATCTCGTTCCACCTACGTTAGCTACTTTTGCAAAATGAATAAAAGTAAACTTGTTTCCTTTGTCGAACTTAACTTGCACGAGTCACAAAATGCAAATTGATGAGTTAACGAGTGGGTGGAAGTCGCGAAAGTTCAGCTCTGCAAAAGTACAAACGTCTGCTTTTTCATTAGGTTCAACAGTTGAGAGGCGTGTCAGTGTTGAAGAGTAGCCTCGAGGCTACGAGAAATATTTGGTTTCTTCTCCACGCCGACTCGATAATTGGGAGGAATGTTTCGTCGGATGCAGTCACTTCCCGCATCTCCCCAAAGTATCATAGGACATTTTAGGAACACAAGTATTCATGGAAAACAAAATGCCGCTGGACGGATATTATCTCCTAAACGAGCCAATTTAGAGATCGGTTTATTTGGCAACATTCTCTTAAGTTTCTTGTTCTAATTGTTAGCTCAGTTTAAATGTTTTCCTACTTTTAAACAAGAAAGCATTGGAAAGAGATAGTTTTGTTTCCTGTGCCTGCCTACCTTTTTAAATTCAAATTAAGAATATGGCCGCTAAAGCTAAACTCTTAAAAGTGTTTCAAAACTTTTAAAAAGTGAAAAGATAAACAAAAAGTGTTCGAAATAGCCTGACGATGTCTCAGGGAAAGAATTAACATTTTCAGAACACTTCTATTGAAATAAATAGAGCTTAAGTTCAATTACGCGTGTGTTTCAACAGAATTAGTAGTACTTTGCTGAAGGAAGACTGCCCACAATGTTCTGAGGAAGGGTCACCGGACCCGAAACGTTAACTCTGTTTTTACCTTCACAGATGCTGCCAGACCTGCTGAGCTTCTCCAGCAACTTTGTTTTTGTGCTCAAAATGTAGCGTGGCACGCAGCCAAAATGAGTCCAGAAAACCAACTAAGGTTCAATATCTGGTCTTTGCTGAGCCAGCTAATCTAAGCTAGAGCAGTAATAGCATATTACAATAATTTGCATTTATATAGAATGTTTAACACTGCAAAACACTCAAGTTACTTTGTGCAAGATTAGGGAAAGTAATCAACAGTTCAATTGACATTGATTTTGACAAAGTTTCTGAAATTTTGGGTGACTCGTGGAATGACAAAGGTCTTCAGACTGGACTTGCATTACTCAGCTGTGATGCAAAAGCAGAAGGATTAAGCAAGATTGCAGTGCTAAGGTGAGGCAATGGCCTACAAAGGTTCTGTAACAAATAATTTGAAGTCAATCTGTTAAGAGTATGAGGAGCCAGTGAATATTAGTGAGGGTAATGCATGAACTGGATTTAATGCAAATTATAATGTAGCTAGTGGAATTCAGAATGAACCGAGTTTGTTTAGGGTGAAGCTTTGATAGGTCAGCAAATAGCATTTTAAAAGGCATTATTATTTTCAACATCTACAGGAAATGGAGAATACAGCCTACAGAATTCCCATTCTTTATCACTATTCAATAACCCTGTGGAAATGCATGAGCTGGGATAAGTCCACAGAACATTGCCCAGATGTACACATGAATTGGAAAACTGTTTCCTCAGTAAATTTGAAGGTTACTGCCTTCAAGAGAAGCAATGTAAATTTTTTTAAAAATTCCTTATTCCAAACAGAGGATAAGCACGACAAAACACCATATTGCAAACATTATGTTTTTTGCATTTGATATTTTTCAAATATGAACACATTTGTTGTTATTGTATTTGTAATGAACTGAAGCAAAATTGTTTTATATTAACAGAGCTAAGAATTACACAAATTTAAAGCACAGAAGAGGACAATTCAGGCCATTGTGCATATGTTTTGAAAGCACAGATGTGTTTAGTCTCATATTTGAATTTTTTGCCTCAACCCTGTAAACATTTCATCAACAACTTGTCAAACTGCCTTATTAAAATTATTTATGGATTCAGCTTCCACCACTTTTACAGTTGGAGCCTTCTAGATCTTGACCTGTCTGAGTGTATGGATGATGTCTAAGGTAGAATGACGTCTAAGAAAAACACCCTCTCCACTCAAACCAATACTTTTAAATCTATGTCCTCTAGTTAAAGAACCCTCTTTCTCAATCTCCTCTTTCAAAACCTCTAATTGTGAAAATCTCATAACGTTTTCTCTTCCAAGGAGAACTGTACTAATGTTTTCAACTCCTCTCCTTAACTGAAATCCCTTATTCTTGGTTAAATCCTGCTAAACCTCCTCTGTATACTTTAGAACATGGAGATTTCAGAACATTAAGCCTTTACACCTTCACATCGTATAAAGTGACATCCAGACTTGTACATAATACTGTAGTTGAGGCTTTGCCAGTGATTTCTAACATTATAGCATGATAATAGGAACAAGAGTACAGTATTTGCCTCCTTGATCCTATTTCACCATTCAGTGAGATCATGGTTGATCTGGATCTTTTGCCCCATATGCTCTCTTCAGAGACAGAGAATATAAAAGCAGCACCTTAAGCAACCCATATGTTTTAAACAGCGTAGCAACTTATCCCACTACCTGAAATGATTTGTGTATGCCCCTTTATACATTTCAAAATTGTACCATTTTATCTTTCTGTATTAGACATCCTAAAGTACAGCACTGCATATTTCTCCACATTGAATGTCAATTTGTGTTTCTGCCCAAATCACTGCCCTAAAGTCTACACCTCATCTACAATCTCCTACGTTGCAATTGACTTTTTTTTAAACCAATTTCTTTTTGTTTGCTGTTTTTCCTGCAATATTTATCAGATGTTTGTATTTCTATTCACTAAATGGGACTAACTTTAAAAAAAGGGCAAAAACAGGAAATAAAAAGTGATCACATTAAAATTGGAAACATGAATGATGATTGTCTTTTCCTTATTTCTGAACAAATACAAATTTTTTTGTTTCTATGCTTATTTCCCTCTGTTTTTCCTTTGTTTCCTAGGCCACACAGGATCTATTCCAAGTGGGCAAGAGATCTTAGTTAATACCATGCTGACATAGCCTGTGTGGGATCCACTGAAGAGTATCCTTTCAATTCCTTTGTTTCCATGCAGAGAGGAGTCACAGCTACACTTTCACCACAGAGGCCAGTATCCCATAGGACTTGATACCAGTCCAACTCCCAGAGTGAACCAGAATGCTGGCACTCCTGTTTATATCTGTAAAGCCAGGGCTCCCTGATTGGACCAAGTTAACAGTCCCAATCAAGGAGCTCATATTTTATGAGGTCCACCTGGCTGACCTCATTACAATCACTGCAATTGGGAAACAGGAGTGGGGACTGTTCTTGGGTCAGAAACCTGCCTTCAGTGGGGAATTGATGGAAGTTCAGATTTTCACAGCGATTAACCCTTAATTGATATGCAGTCAGGATTTCTGCCCATTTAGAATTAGTGGCAATAGGTCAGATAAAGTCTGAGATTGATTCCAACACCTTGCATCACCCAGGAGTGAGGCTGCTGGTTGTTCGGAGTGTGAAGAATACAAACATATGCTGACTGTGTCAAAGCCTGCCACTACACCAGACGGAAGCAAGATATCACAAAAGAGACAAAGATCTTGTTCTCCAAACAGAGTAGACCTTGCTACATTGATACTACCTTGGATCTAATGCTGGAGGCCAGGAATGAGTCAAAGGTGATGCTGTTCCTCATTGTGTAATCTAGGCTCCTCTTTATTCAGCAACATCTTTTTCCACCTTCTCTTCCTCCTCCTCTGTTACCTCCTCCACCCAATAAACTGTCTCCTTCTGAGATCTCAACATTCTTAAGATCTACATCTCTGTGGAGGGCCATGTTATGGACAACACAACAAGCTACTTCAGTGAGATGGAACTTGGCACATCTGACTTAAAATGGTGGCAAATGCTTGAGCTTTGTCTTTTACACCAAAACACTGGCCTGGCCCCTTATTGCAGATGTGCAAGATATTTGTGGACCCTCCTTTTCCTGGTGATTGCTTAGTTGTCCACCATCATGATGGAATGGCTCTTCTTATCATTGGATTTGAAACACCAACTCTGTTTTTCTCTCTACAGATATTGCCAGACCTGCTGAATTTCTTCTGAAATTTCTGTTTTTATTTCAGATTTCCAGCAGCTGCGTTGTTTTGCTTTTATTTCCTTGCCTATTTTGGCTGAATACCATAAGACTTCATGGGGTTGAAAACAATATTGAAGACTCCCAGGACAATTAGTTATGGTCTTCTCGATTCTTAAATTTTAAAATTGTGATGGTCAAATAAATAAAATATATAAAAGGCAACATAAGTGAACAGTATTAGAAAATTAAAACTAATTAAGAAAGCAGGTATGCCAAAACTACAGCACAGGAAAGCTTATGGATACCATTGTGATCCAGATGAAACCCATATGCATTAGGTGTTTGAAGTTCTAGCAGCTTCAGATCAGAGTTTATGAACTGAAGATTGAACTACAGACACTGTAACACATTATAGAGAGGGTTGGCTATCTAGATTCCTTGTTCTAGGAGGCAGTCACACCGTGTAGGATAGGGTATTCTGATTTGGAAAGTGGTCAGGGACAGGAGAGTATCACTAAGTGAGGCAGGTAAGGGAAGCCATAGATCAGGAGTATCAGCCTCTGCATTAAAATTTATACGAGATTCTTTCAGCCTGTTTAGAAGACAGCGAGGCTGCAGGGTGATCGTGCAATGGATCAAGGCATTATGGTGCAAGAAGCCATTCAAATGGGGTGAGCAACAAGGAATATCATCGTAGTAGTAGTAGTTGCAGGTGATAGTATAGTGAGGAGGATTCAAACTGTTCTCTACAGCAAAGAATGAGAGTTCAGGTAGTTGAGTTGCCTACACAGTCCCAGGGTTTGGGACGTCAGCTGAAGGCTAACAGAGGAAAGGAGAGGATAGAGTGGTTGTGGTCCCTGATAAATGATATGGGTAGAACTAGGAAGGAGGTTCTGCATAGAGAGATGAGAAGCTAGGCAATCAATTAAAATGCAAAACCTCAAAGATTATCTCTGGATTATCATCTAAGTCATGTGCAAATTGGAATAAGATCTGTAAAATTAGAGAGATGAATACGTGGCTTAAATACTTGTGGAGAGAAGTGGGTTCCTGTTTGTGGGCCACTGGAACCAGTGCCAGGGATAGTGAGGGCTCAGATAGTGTGAGCTGTGCCATTGGGATGGTCTATACTTGAACCATGCTGGGGCCAGGGTTCTTACAAACTGCATAATGAGAGAAATAGAGTGAGTTTTAAGTCAAGTAGGATCAAATGTAGGAAGATATTGTATAGGATGCTATCCTTTACTATGAGATGAATTCAATGTAAAAGTAAGGATAAATACTGCTCTATCTGTAGGAATCCTCGGCCCAACATCTTCAGTTAACATTTTGGGTCCGGTGACCCTTCCTCAGAATGGGGTGTTCTGGGGAAGGGTCATCGGACCCGAAACATTAACTCTGATTTTTTTCTTCACAGATGCTGCCAGACCTGCTGAGCTTTTCCAGCAACTTCTGTTTTTGATACTGAGAGTTATCAGTGACCAGAACCTCAACTGGACTCACCACATAAACATAGTCACTACAAGAGCAGGTCAGAAGCTAGGAATACTGTAGCGAATAACTTACCTTCTGACTCCTCAAAGCCCATCCACCATCTACAAGGCACAAGTCAGGGGTGTGATGGAATACTCCCCACTTGCCTGGATGAGTGCAGCCCCAACAACACTCCAGAAGCTTGACACCATCCAGGTCAAAGCAGCCCTCTTGACTGGCACTATATTCACAAGCATCCACTCCCTCCACCACTGACGCTCAGTAGCAGCAGTGTGTGATTCTACAAGATGCACTGCAGAAA